GTGTGTGTGTGTGTGTGTGTGTGTGTGTGTGTGTGTGTGTGTGTGTGCGTGTGTGTGTGTGTGCTTGTGTGTGTGTGTGTGTGTGTGTGTTATGATAACTCATAACTTACAAGAATTCCCCTTCAGGGAATGCTTGGCCTTTTTCTCGTTTCCTTTAAAGATGGCGCTGGACGCTAACCTTCTTTCCTCTCCCCCAGTGGATCCTGACCACCTGCCCACTCTGATCGTTGTCATGGTGACGGCCTTGGTACTGGTCCTGCTGATTGTGACCGTGATCTACCTGTACCGCCGGCGGGCCATAGGGTCGCAGGGCTCCTTCGAGGGCGCTCGGTACAGCCGCACCAACTCGAGCCTCGCCGAGGAGGCCGAGAAGAACATCCTGGTGTCCGACATGGAGCTGAACGAGCAGCCGGAGTAGCTCGGCCCGACCCGGACCGACCGACTGGACCCGACCTTGCACAGGAGAGGCTGATTTCATTGAGCTGACTCAAATTCTGATACGCTTTTTGTCTCTTTTACAACCAAAAAAAAAAAAAAAAGTTTTTTAAAGTGCTGAACAGCTGTGTAGAGCGCAGCAGATGTTTAAGGTCTCCAACTTTAAAATCAGATTCATCCGTCGGCGTTTTCCACACGCGGCCCTGATTCGCCCACTGTGGAGAGTTTTAGTGCAGCTGACCAGAACTAATTCAACCGTTTTACAAAATAAAGTGCCAAAGCTCATTTTTACACACTGAAATTATTCACCATAAACGGGTTCGTCCGGTCATTTCGGAAATGGTGTTTTGTCAAATAGTTTTCAGCAGTTCAGTCACAGAGCAGAGTGAAAAGAGGCAAAAGTCTTAGTCCAGGCTAGGCTAATCGCTACCCAACATTTTCCAGACTTATACACAGTGCTTAATTTGTAAACCAAACGATGCTGGAACGCAAAGAGTTGTGGGGGGGGGGGGGGGGGTTTGGAGAAAGTAGATGTCATTTCCTGCATTCTGGTGTATTTTAACAGGTTGCTAAACATCTACGCTCACCTACATTTGTAAATATTTGATTCAACAACTATTTTAGAGAGCAACAAAAAGTAGCCTGACCAACAGCCCTCCTTGTGTGAATAGAGCACCACCACCCCCCATTGCCACTGTTTTCATGTGCTTCAATTCTCGCTTGTTTAGTTGTAAATTAAGAAAACTTTTTTTAAATTAAAGTAAATTGGACTTTTTTCAACATTTTGATCGCTGTTATTTTGACTAATTGGCGCCGCTGTTTTGATGCGACACCCATCAAATATTTCTCTCATATTTTTACTAAATAATAATTTAAAAAAATTAATGACCCACTTAAACTGTAAAACTGATTTTCAATTTAGTTGTGCTGTGTAATTATATTTTTGTGTTTTTAATTAAATTGCCCACAACTGAACTTTTAGGAGCAGAGATTTTTTTCAAGGGTAGAAGCGGAAATGCTTACTTGAAGGAGCAGCTCTGATGTGATATTAAGAAGCTTGTAAGTGGCTGTTATGTTTAAAATGAGTGTTTATATAATTGTTTTCAGATTACATGTCCAGTAGAGGTTTTATTCATTCAAGGCAGTCAAATTTCTTCATAACTTTATTATTAGTAAGCCTGAGAGTTACCGGATCCAAGCAAACAGTTACCGGAACGCACCCTGTCAAAATAAGAGAGTTACTGGATCCTGTTCCGGCAGGATCCAACTCAAATTAAGCCCTGCTTACGTACAACCCTTTAAAAATACAAAATAAAAACAGCTACCAGATTAGTTCCTTCTAAACCTTCCACAGAGATGTGTCGTTTTTGGGAGCGAGTTGTTTTAAAAACTGAAAAATGATTAAAAACTGACGCGTTTGGTTAGCGGTTAGCCTAGCCTGGAAGAAGACTTTTGCCTTTTTCGCTGTTCTCTGCGCTCGTAAGGTGCAAACTATTGATAACTATCAGAGCATCACTCCAGAGCTGACTGGATCATCCCTGTTGGGTGGTGGGTGTGCACGTTTGGAGGCTTGTTGAGCTTCAGCTGCAGTCTGGCTGAACTCGTTCTGATGGAGGGACCTGTGAGCCGGTGGCTGCGTTACGAGCCGGTGCAGCTTGCAAAATGGTGTTCTCGGCCCTGAAAGTTGTTTCATGCCCACCTCAGCGCCCCCCCCCCCCCCCCCCCAATGTTCATGATTCAATCTGCTGGAGCACTCTTCTGAAATGAATCAGTTTTTAATGATTATTTTCCACCAGTGTAGTTTTTAGACCGGGACATTTAGCCTCGGATGTCTTCTGTCCAACTCCAGCTCTGGTTCTCTCGAGCAGGGACTGTTTGGAGAGAGGAGCGGTCGTGCAGATCTTTTGAACATGTTCAAAACTAACGAGACAAGACTGCTGCTCTGTGACTCTTGAGAAAACGTTCAGGAGCCTCATGAACGCCTGTGAGATGCAACCTTCAGTCTTTGAGTAAAGCCCACAGCTCCTTTTCTTTAACCAGCCACACCACATTCTGCTTTAGTTTCTCGTGTCCTCGCCATGTCAGTATTAACTCAAACTTGAACTTTTCTTCTCGTCGTGATTTTTTTTTTTTTTACTATTTTTGACCTTATCTGTGCAGCTGTAATGGGTTTGTTAGTTACAATGCGTGCGTTTGTGTGTTTTTTACGAGCCTGCCTCTCCTCTCTTCTGATCCGACACGTCAGCAAAAGTCTGTCAGGCGAGCAGAGGGGGAAGATGTGAACGTGTTGAAAGGGACCTCGAACTGTCTGAGGGCATACACTATAATCATGCACATAACTTTATACTGGAAGCTGGTCTTTAAATAGACTCCATTGTCTTTTCTTTTTTTAACCGAGACAGTTTTTGTTGCAGGATCAGATGTTTGAGCCACCAGGACCTGATATAGCACTTTTTAAACTCCTGATTTCATCTCAGTCCTCCACAAGTTTTATGAACTTTTGTTTGTCTTGGCTCTCTTGAGTCCCCCCCCCCCCCCCCCCCCCCCATCTGGATCTGATTCAGCATTTTTTTTTTTCAGCTTAGTCATTGTCTTTGCATGCACTGTGAAATAATGGGGATTTTGTAATTTGATATCAGTCTGAAGTCGTCCTTTTTATACGCTGCAGTTTTCTCCTCTGTTACACCAGCTCTTTGTATCTTCTCAAAGATGCAGATGTTTTATGATGTGATTTGATTCATAAAGACGTTTGGAAGCATCTCTGCTTTTTATGCGACAACACTTGAACTTCCTGAGAAAGCCATTCCTTCTGTGCAGAAGAGCCCCCATATTTTTAAAGCCTAACTCGGTGTTTCGTAAGAAAAACCGAACATCTGCGCCGTCTCTTTTCCACATCTTAACATTTTATTTACCTCCTCAAACGGTGAACTTTTCCCCGTCAGCTCCTGCCGCTGATTTCTCTCCCCCTGCTTGCAGGGTTGCGTTTGGATCCATTTCAATATGAGGCTTTTGGTGTTTCACTGTGAGGAGGAGAAAAAAAGAAAGGAAAAGTAGGATGGAGGGGGAAGGGAGGAGGAGAGGTGTATGAGTATGTATAAGTGTGTGTGTGCAGTCTCCAGCTGTGGAATGTTGAGTCGGCAAGAAGAGCTCAGTGGTGTGTCTGGAACCAATCAGAGGAGGACAGATTTAGGGACACAAGGGGTCAGGATGAGAAAAAAAAGGGGGTTGAAGGAGGAGAAAAGGGAGAAAAGAAAAGCAAAGTGGGAGGAGGAGGAGTCAGAGATGGAGGTGGAGGAGGAAGAGGAGTTCCAGGAGCCGGTGTGTCCTCTGCTGGTGGATTTCTGTACAGATGTTCCTGATGTTTGTGATGCAGACCTGCTCTCTCTGTGAACCCGAAGGACGTGTTTGAATTTCTGCAAAACAATCTTGTCATTTTTTAAAAAAAATATATGAAATGAATAAAGTTTATGTTTTCAACGCTGCGATCAGATCAGTTGTTGTGGCCGATTATTTGAGTTGTACAGGCAGACGTGTCTCCAGAAGAAACTCGAAGGGACCAGATGTTGTCAAGAACAACTAAAGGAAACATTCTGAACACAATTCGTCACAAACCTGCTTAAAGGTTGAAACAAGAACGGAACGCTTCAACTCGTTAAGTTTTATATAAATAGTACATGTTTTAAAATGTTTATAACGTTCTGAAATCAGAAATTAAAGGGTTGATGTTCATGTTCTTTTAAGTTTTAGAATAAAATTTAAAAAAGAAGAAAAAAACAGTTTGTATATAAAATGTTAAACACTTAATTATGGAGATAATCAGAGTCTTTATTAAAGACTATTTGTGGAAAATGAAATAAACAAATTTACTGCACTTCTTTCAGCTTTTCCCTCTTCTGGGGCCTCCACAGCGAGTCCTCCAACTCCATGTCTTCTCTAACTGCTTCCATCTATCTCCTCTTTGTCTTTTTCCTGGCAGCTGCATTTCTAACATCCTTCTCCCAGTATACCCACTGTCCCTCCTCTGGACATGTCCAAACCATCTCAGTGTGTCCTCTCTAACTTTATCTCCCAGTTGTTCAACCTGTGCTGTACCTCTGATGATCTCATTCCTTATCTTCTCCATCCTTGTCTCTCCTAAGGAGAACCTCAACATCTTCATTTCTGACACTTCCAGTTCTGTCTCTCCTGTCTTTTTGTCCACGTCTCTGTCTTCAGACCATACAACATACAGTAGCTGGTCTCACCACTGTCTTGTAAACTTTTCCTTTGACCTTTGATGACACCCCTTTGTCTCCTGAAACTTTTCTCCATCACTCCATCCTGCCTGGACTCCCTTCTTCTTTACCACATTCCCCATTTTCCTGGACATTGGACCCCAAGTCCTTGAAGTCCTGCACCTTTGTGACCTCTGCTCCTTGTAGCCTCACTGTTCCACCTCCTCCCTCTCATTCACACACATGGACTCTGTCTTACTACGACTGACTTTCATTCCGCTTCTTTCAAGTGCATACCTCCACCTCTCCAAGTTCTCTTCCACCTGTTCCCTGTTCTCACCACAGATCACAATGTCATCTGCAAACATTATAGTCCACGGTGATTCCTGCTTGACCTCATTTGTTAGTCAGTCCAGCGTCAAACAAGAAGGGGCTCAGAGCGGATCCTTGATGCACTCCCACCTCCACCTTGAAACTATCTGTCACTCCTACAGCACATCTCACCGCTGTCCTGCTGTCCTCAGACATGTCCTGTACCAGTCTAGCATACTTGTTTACTACTCCAGATTTCCTCATACTATACTATACTATACTATACTATACTATACTATACTATACTATACTATACTATACTATACTATACTATACTATACTATACTAATATACTTTCCATTGCATAATATGACCCTGAGCTTGCTGACTCCTGAGTCAGGTGAACAAATAGACTAAGAATAAATTGACGACATGTTGATTGTAGTGTTGCTCTTCCACCAGCAGAGGGCGCGCCTCGCCTTCTCTATTTGTTTTG